AATGATGTAAAGTTATCACTTTCATTATCAGTCGTGTTTGCAGAATTATCTCACTATCTAACATGTATTTATGACAGATATAAAGTTCGATTTTTGTTTTCTAAGTGCGTGTTCTTGTCAGAATAATTTATAAGCATGCAGGGACTCAGAATCCAACTGTAGGATGGAAAAGTTGAGCTTGATTTTTGAAATCCGATTAAATGCAAAAATAATTAGTTCGTAGAAACATCATAGATTTTATTAATTGTAACAGCGGCAACAACTTACTTTACCAAAAATAATTCTTTTTTAGTGGGAGCTCCATTTCTCGGTATTCTGTCCTTCGTAAAGAATATGTAAGAAATTCGTCTCTGTTCAAAAAGTGAAATAGTACTCTACACCTTAGACTGTATACTATAGGGCAACAATAAAAGATAAACACTAAATAAGAAATTCTGCGACACAGATTCCACGCAGTGCTCTGGCACAGAACAAGATATCCGAAGTTATCAAACAAAAGCATGAGGCATAAATTTTTGCAAAAAGTCAGATCAGCTTCAACACAACATGAGCAATATGGAAAGCCTGAACACGACAACCTGTATAAGAGATATTAGATGGACTGATGTAGTAAAAATTGTACTATAAGACGAAATTAGCTTGATAACCAAGTTTACGGTCAAACTGTACTTGTGTCAAAGAAGTTTCTGTCATACTAAGGTCCAGCATGCCCTTGTTAAATACTAAACATGCAACCCACATTAATCCAATGTTCACTAATGGTTCAAAACCCAAGTTGGCAAAATAAAATCAAATTTTGGGTTGAAATCCAAAATCTCAAGTCTCAAATAACCTACCATTATCAACTGCTCAAGTTAGCATTTTCAAAAATGTCTATGTCAGCAAAATGTGCACTTCTACTCGAAATGTCTTCCAAAATACCTATACCAATTTCCCGCCCACGTGCTTCTTGCTCCACTTGCCACTGCGCCAGCAACAGATTTGAATAAGTCAACGGGTTGTTATAGTACTTCACGTAATCAATCGTTTCAGCAGTAGGAAATATGAGGTCGAAATTACCATTACGATCTAATTCGTCTTCAAATTCAATCAAAACTCGTGCGTCCCAACCTGTCAGTTTATCCAGTATCCTTCGGTCAATTTTCTATAATTTCTTTCCGTCTTTATGAAAATAACCTATTCGAATTCCGATTCCGAAAGTTTGAAAAATCTACAGCTTTGGCTGAAATTTAAAAATTCAGAAAAAGAGAACTTGTACAAAAAACCAAAATTTCGTCCAAAATGTTTTCATAATTTCTGTTAGAACAAGGAGTAAAGTGATGTCTCTTATTATTAATCCATCCACCAGATCACAACTGTAGATGATCTACTGTAACCATGAACGAACAAATCTCTCACCCTATTCTTCTTGAAATATTCAAGATGATATCGCTCCTTCTTCAAATCTTCGTCGCTTTTATTACCGTCAAATGATTTCACGCGATAATCCATTGATAGCGTGTTATTTTTGTCTCTAAAACTTTCATGGAATTTGCAATAAAAATTTTCTTGAGACTGAACAGGATTGGAGCACTTCATTTATTTTCACACTTAAGACTTCCAAAATCAGGAATCAGAAGCGTACTCACGTCATATCAGGTGGAATCTGGATACCACAGAGATTCAGTACATCTTTTGCAAGCGTCGTTTTGACGGCTATATCTGTAGGTGTTGCACAGTGTAATGAAGGTGAAATATTCACCTGAAAATTAGTATATGCAGAAGCCTAATTATCATATCTATTTTGTGCATATCTGAAAGACAACCAAGTATGGACGCTTCAACCTCCAAATTTTTACACATGACTTTAGTCAAAGGATTTTTCTAGTTTAAAAATATGGTACCTCTAATAGCCAAGGCCTAAGAGTGTCGTCAAGTAGAATATCCATCCCATAAAGTTCATGGCTTGTGAAAGTATACAAACTGTGTTTTTTCTGGTGCGTTCGAATATGACTTTCACAACTAAAACAAGACAATTATTTAATAGCGTGGAAAAAACTGAGAAAAATAAGCAAACAATGTCTTTAATAAGTGCCTTAATTTACGTTTAATTAAATAATATTAAACAATCCAAAGTACTGTTTAATTTTTAACTCAAAGCTAAAACAACTCTGTCTAATTAGCCAAGCTTTATTGTTGAGCAAAAGATTAGGTATCGCAGGCCCTTTCGATCTTTCGGTTGGCAGTAAGAGATATTACGAAAAGTTTACGCAAGGACAGCTTTAATAATGATATCCGTAATCCTTGGTTTAACAACGTTTACATCTACATGTTCAGCTATATGTGCCCAAAAATCCGATAATTTCCATTTCGGCACAGGCGTTGTACGTTCGCCTGCTGATTGTGCCAATTTGTTGATACTATAGTTCGTTAAATGCATAAATTTGTTCGACATCGAACTAAGCGCAGAAGAATAGCTGCAAATACGTAAGTTATATTTCAAATGTGACAACTCTGAATTTTCAAGATTAAATTAAAAGGAAAAAAAAAACGGACAAAGCAAAAAATCTCTCGTTCACGAAAAGTAAAGAAAATTACGGGATACTTGCGAATCGAACGAGGCCGTCATTATATAAGTATATACGCAAAGGATCAAGATTTGTCAGATAAACGTATAAGCGTAAATCAAATTTTGCGGAATTAACAATTAGAGGCCGATCAATGTAACTGAAAATCACAATTTTAAGTAACTCGATAGGTTTTCAAAGAATTCAAGTTTTATAAGAAAAATCCTCAAAATGAAAACTTACTGCTGAGCAACAAGTGGTGTTTTCTTTGGAATTTGTTTAATTTTGCTAGCAATACTGATGCCTGTTCCTCGGGCAGATGCAGGCTATAACAAATAGTTTTAAAGAGCTGAAAATAATTTTAAATTCTCCATTTCTTTGACTTTATACCATTAGTCAACAAATGTTTACGCTGTTCAATCCAGAAGGAAAATTTTGTCATTTAAATGGCCATAATGAAGCGAGTACAGAACTTACCCAGTATGGCATAAACATAGTTACCACTAGATGTTTTAATACCTGGTTAGCAAAGTTATAAAATTAATTTTTTTTAAAGATAAGACAAACATGGATGGATTACAGAAATGTAAAATTCAGCAAAGTATACCGGTTTAAGTATGACGACATGAGAAGGGTTACCGTGAAGGTAAGATTTCAATTTTTTGACATCCCGTGGCAGAACATAAGTCGTCGGCATAATATGATATTCCTCAGGACCCCATAGAGCAATCATCTCACTTATGTGTTGCCAGAGACGATCCTTTCGTCCCATGTGAAATGCACCAGGAAAATGATTGACCTATCAACACTGTTGATTTAGGCAGGTTATGGCGAAAACTTATATAAAAAAGTCCTGGTCAGAACTGGATAATTAGCACAGAGTTAAAAAATCCCCGTAATTACATTAACAGAATATGTTACTATTATATTAACTATGTTACTAATTACATTGTTGCTAATTATAATTACACTAACTGAATACTTATTAATTATAAATTAACAGAATATGTTACTATTATATTAACTATGTTACTAATTACATTGTTGCTAATTATAATTACACTAACTGAATACTTATTAATTATAAACTAACAAGTTGTACTACTACTAGTTATCTAAATAGTACTATTTAAATAATTAGTACTAAATAAATAAGTAGTAAATAGTACTAAATAAATAAATAGTATATATAATTAAATAGTATATATAATTAAAGTTAAATAAATGGTACTAAATAGTACTACTAAAAATAGTAAAATAGTATTTACTAAAAATAGTAAATAGTACTACTTAATCGTACTCCTTATCTTGCAAAAACACAAAGAAATGACACCTTCTGATATGGCTTGATCGTTCGATACTGAGCTGATTTCAAATGCCGTCCCCAGTAACCAATCCAAAAGTCTGACTCATCAACTATCGCAAAATGACTTGCAGCAAGACTTTGCCGCATAACAATAGGTAAAAGACTATTTTTACACCACATCAGTTTTGAGCGGATCGCTTTATTCGGTTTTGTAACTGCAACCAGGTGGATTGTTTATTTCAGCTATTAAAAATTTTGTTGAAAATTGTTAAAAAAGTTAAAAATTTAGAAATTAAAAAGTTAAAAATTTTGTTCGATTATAGTTATGCCAAAAATTTATAATTTGGAATCTCACAGTATACTGCTCACATTTTCGAAGTTATTTCGCGAAAAGCAAGAAAGTAATTTGGTTAAGATAGGTTAGTAACTTCAACAGTTACCATTAAATAAAGTCACTTTCTATTAGCAGATAACCAAAAGTAAGGTGAATTAATGTGGATGCTTCCGACTAGGACTAAAACTGAACGTATGCTGCAAATTCAAGAACAAGACTGACGTAAGCATTGAAAGCAAACCTTTTGATTCCTTGCTATAAAATCGTATTGTCGGAGGTACATTGGAAAATAAACTTGGACGGAGGAAAGGTTTCAAAGCTGGTGGGGAAGACTCGTCAGTGGTACAACTGCAAAAGCCAGAACAAAATTTTTCATCGAGAAAATTAAACTGAACAAAGAAATAACCATGCTTAAGAAGTTTGAAGGAAAATTTAATTACCTGGTTGTACAAAGGCAGTTTGTAACAAGGCAACTGAGACGGCATATGTCGTTATCTTTCTCTTCTTCTACAATAAAAACATCCACAATAAAAAAGGTTAAAAAACAAAAAAAAATTTTCCCATCAAAACCAATTACATTAATCTATCCAAATAACCTCTTCCTTCCGTCCTTTTTATTCGGTACCATTGAACCATTCAGGATTTCAAACAGTTACATAGAAATACTCCGTTCATAAAGAAAAAAAAAGAATTATTACAGATGAAATAGCAATTAAAAGTACCATTTGAGGCAACTGATCTTATAGGCTGTTGTTCACCACAGGAAGATGATGTTGACGACACCGAACAACTCATCGTACAATACCTGAAGCAATCCATGTGGTAATTCTTCAAAAAGTTAATGGAAATATTTCTGAATGCAAGATGAACTTGATATACATACAAAGAGATGGATATAATCTTCGAAGTGAATCAATCCAGGATGAATATGGCTGCATATGATCAATATAGTAAACAATAACCAAACCGATCCGAGAGTTACCCTGAAATTTTACAGTAATTCATCCCAAAACAGATAAATGAAGCTCAGGAATGAAAAACAAATGAAAGATAAAAGAAGGATGATGGAAGGGTAGAAGATACAGATAGATACAAAATATCACATTCTTACGCCCTAAATATCATTCTAAAGCCATAATGGAGATCTAAAAAACTTGTTAAGAAAGAGAGATGCACGATGCATTACGGCAATTGAGTGCACCAAGTTCATATTCACCCGCGTCCTTTTTCCGCCAAAAGTTATCCTCACCTTTTGCCCGAAAGTTAGGACTATTCTGAGGTCTGGCACATGGGACATCACGGCATAAAATAATGACAATTGAACCGCGAACTATTCGTCTGTTCATACGATCTTAAAAACTCTACCTGCATGTTTCAGATTAACCTATAACCCCTTCACCAACGTCTTCTACGTCTTTTGGACCACGTGTCCCTGGCAAATCACGCTGAACAGCTTCAAAAGTGCGTAAGTACGCGGCCCGTGAAAACTTGAAGAGGTAGTATACTGTTATTTGATGATATGATTAGAGATACTAACTAAACTCGTTTCAAAATTTTGTATTTTCTTAGACTATTAGCTACCCATTCCTTTTCACTCTCGACGGCTAGATTACTTGTCAAACCGTCCGGTTTTCCGGTTTCTAAACATCGCAGTTTCTTCACTTCTCTTCAATGCCATATTCCAAGAGAGAATGAAAAAGGTTTAAAAGAAAATGTAACTGTTCATATTAAAGTATGCAAATAATAGAGCAGGTTAAAATAATTGTCATTTGTCCTGTTTGCAAATAAACGAAATGGTTGATGCAACGCATGCTGGTACTACTTTTCCTGATAAAAGTGCATTCAGTAACCTTTGGTAGACTAACATTTCAGTAGAAAAAGAGAATAAATTACAAAATTCACTTCTGAAAGTTCAACAAATGAACGAAAAAAGAATCCCTCGGGATATCTTAAATATATTTTTGCTAATTTTCAGCTTTTATTATTGTTGCATTCGTTGTACCGACAACAGTTGCCATAAAATGTCAGATTTATTTTCGTCGAGGAAAATCGACACCAAAAACCAATGAAACAGAGGATTGTGAATCAAGTTCTTGCTGTTTCACAGCTGAATTACATCGTAAGGCGCTAAATTATGATCCTTCAATCCTTCTTGATCACACCAAGCGAATATCCTTGAGAATATTCTTGGTAGTATGAATTGGGAAGAAAAAAAATGACTAAAATCAAAATAATAATTTTGGACAAAAGAAACTCTGGGAAACTGTCTGTAAATACTGCAAAAACGTTTAGACAAGAAAAAATACAACATTTGAAAATGATTTTCATGACAGCATACCATAAAATGACAAATTTAGATTCCTTTTGCTTCACTCATTCCACTTACTCTTTAAGGTTTGCATATTGATGATAAAAGATGACAATGTGATAATTTCAGATAATCGTCATATATACCAAATGAAGGGTTGCGATGCGGATAACGTACAAGATGATATGTTAGTGTATGTTCCGTCTCTTACTGGAAGACCATGGGAAAACATTATGGAGGCATGCTTGGTATCATTTTCTAATAATATGATTCATCTTTTCTTTCTTTAGAACTGAAATTGTATGCAGTGAATTTGTATTAAGCAGACTTGAATTAGTATCAAGGAAGGAAGAAAGGTCAAGTCACAAAATTCAGGAAAATGTAAGAATGCTTAGAACAGGTGTGTAGCCAAACATTTGCAGTGAATAAGCACAAATTGCAGTCGAAATGAAATATTTGTAATAAAATGAACGAACAGCATGCATTCTTTGAGAGAGCACTAAGATGCATTCATAGATAAGAAAAAGAACCATTTAATCGCTTTAAAAATTATTTTTTATCTTTTCCGCTCCATCAAAAGATGAATCAGAGGGTAAAGTGGGCTCATCAAAAATTCTCTTGTAGTATCATAATAATCTAAAACAAGTGCAAAAGGTATATCATGTCGTAGGCAGAACAGTTTAATTTCTAGGCCAGTGAATGCAGAGTGCACAGTGATTTGTTAGGTGGTAAAGGTCAAAGCTATTTATGTGGATGCGATATTGACTATTGCAATGAAAAATCATTTCAAGCCACATTTCCACAACTAAGAAATATTCCCAACGACGATACAACATCCAGGGCTAGCATGCTGAATAATAATTTGCTTTGGATCATGGGTGGAAGTGCAAGTATAATGCGAAAACTTCGTATTTTTTGATCGATAACTATGTTTGCTTATTCAAGAAGAAGGCATGATTATAAACTGTAATTTAAATTCATTTCCTGATAAATACTATTGTTGCAGACTGATATGCAAATTTTTTAGAACTTTCGTAGCGAAATTCAGTTCTATTTGTTTTATTTAACCTTTTTAGGACCGATTTTATCAATTTTTGATTTCACTTATCGCGACTTATGACCAATAGAAGACAAAGCGTTGTTTGTTAAATAAAAAATATTCAGCTACAATTCGTTGAAGAGAGTACTTAAATTTGAAACTGAATTTGCAACTGGGAAACTTAGCTGTACTGAGATAGAGATTAAAATTACTTCATTATTGCCGGGGAAAATGGAATGCGATATTTCATAAAATTCTTAAGAGTAAAATTTTGTCATTTCAATTCGTTGTAAACTGAATTATTCACTTATCTAAATTAGTATTTCTAATTATTATCAATAAATAATGAAACTGTGAGATATATATACATATATATAAAGCTTATCTTTAAGTGAGGGATTAGATATTTTTTGCATTCCTCGAAAAATACTTGAGAGAATGAAATAAATTCAATCATTCATTATTACTAATCACAGGTAGCGTAGTATTTGATGATATTATATTTCGAGAATGTTCAAAAATTTTCCAGTAAGTATTGATGTAAATTGAGTGAATAATCACAATGTAAATATAGTTTTGAGAAGAAAATGACACTGTGCCAACACAAAAACTTTTGCACCATATCTTTTAATTCGTGTTGTAACTACTTGTTAAAATTAATAACTTTCGAGTGAAGACTTGAAACTTTATAACATAATAAGTGGGGTACAAATCTTTACACAAAGCCAGAGTTTTCATTTATCTTTTGATTTGTCCTATTAAGTATCTGTGAGGAAAAGACTAATTAAATTTCGAAAATTAATTCATAGTCTGCAGTAAAAGTAATTCACTAATTGTTGATGCTATACCAATGGAGAAACAGTAATTTTTTGCTCCATTGAATTCGTTGTTAAAAATTAGTGATGTAAAATTTTTTTTGTTCGAAATGAGATAAAGTTCGTTTAGAATCACAAAACTAATTACTTGACTTTCAATTCATCAGTGATCGTTATTAATTGCACAGAACAGTTAGTTGAATGAACGTTATTGAAAATTTTGAAGAATAGAAACAAAGTTGAGTGAAAAGTGAAATTAATTTCATACTGGAAATGAAAAGTCTATTTATAATTGTTATTTTTTCTCTTTTTTTTGTTGATAACTTTGTGTTCTTCAAAAGAATGATAATTTAGCAAGTGAAAAATGGAAATCATTATATTGTTACAATGGCGCTGTTATTAAACAAACACAACAGTTAGTAAAAAGGAAAAAGTCAAAAAAAGATCAATGAGCAATTTTAGTTCTCTAAGATATATGCAAATGCAAAATTAAAAAAAAAAAAAAAGAAATGAAAGCATAAGAATTTAGTTGTATGGGAGAGAAGCTACTTCAAGATGACTTAAAATTGAAAGGCAAACAAGGAGGTTTAAGGCGGAGTGTGATCGATGCTTAGTGAAGTTTTTAAATTTTAAACTCAATTCATGTTTATACTGATGAGAAAAGAAAAACGAAAAAGAAGACATTGAAGTATTTAGGTACACATTTGAGCAAAACTAAACTAAACTTATTGATAACAACTTCAAATTGTTATCAAAGAAAACTTAAAAAGAATTATTACTATAAGGTACTCAAAATCTATGTAATGTTTGAAGAATTCAAAATTACCAAAAAAAAAAAAAAAGAAAATTCAAACTTTATAGTGATCTGTCCTGTGATAAGTTCACATTAACAGAATGATAAGCTATTTAATTTCGCCACCAAACTAATTAATTGTTAAACTAGCGAAATATGAGACGAAAAGCTGCTACTATACAATGCTATTTAAATGATAAATGAAAACGAACACTTCGAAAAGTATTCTAAACAAAAGAGAAAACGATCACTTCAAAATGAACATATCGCTTCAAATTTTAAATCTCTAAACAAACTTTATTTTTTAACTTTCCCTTCTATCTTGACTTTCTTTGTGGTACCTGAAAGTATCTTAACTGACTTCATAG